ACTGTGTAGTATAATTAAAGACTCGCGGTGATGCTTTGTTATTGTGCGGAAATTTCCTAGAAGAGATGTTGCTTTGGGAAATCCATTAAGTGTGAGATTTCAAGGGGTGGGTGGGAGATGAAAAGGGTTGTGCTGTGAGGGGAATTTAAAGAGGGAAAAGTTGGACAAATAACCTGTCCTCAGCAATCTTATCCTCAGCCCAGTGTGTGTAGTTATGGCTGGACGATGGGCTAAAGGAGTTTTAGTGTGATTTCACGAGTGAAGAATGACTATTTGTTTGTGTTTTCCCATGGAATATTTTACAGAAAACCCGAAGCGATTTCACTCCATCCCCTTTGGAGATTGTCTAAAGTTTCATCCTGAGAATTAATGACTCAACTCGTCGTGATTAATGAGAAACAATTTAATTTCCTCCCAATACTTTTTACACAGCTGCCGGGCTATCTTCTCGCCAATCTCTGGGTATAGTTTCGAGTGGATGTGACATGAAGAGCGTCAAAATTTTAATGATGCCGATTCCCTAGAAAGGACAAGACACGGAGGAGAACGAGTTGAGGAAATTGCTTCGAAAAATCCCTTGGGATCATGCACAAAGTCTGTGGATTTTCTTCGGTGAACACAGAGAACAATGTCCTTAGAACTATTGAAAGTAACCCTCTGAGAATTTCCACTGCGAAGAAGAAAGAGAAGAAGGATTGAGAAGCCATTGTGCATCTCAGGGGGAGTTTTGCTCATTAGGCGGGTGAAAAAAAAAAATCAAAATGTGGCACAATGAATGTCTAAAGTAAACATAGAGCCGTGAATTACATGACGAAGTGAAAAGGTTGAATTGAGAGCAAGATTTTAATTGGGAAGCCCGCTGGGACAAGAAAAGCTCCTGTTGTGGTGTGCTTTTTCTAGGTAAAAATTCCCCTCAACAAAAAGCCTCATTTTCTCCTCGAGCGGTGCGCAAGGAGTTTTTCTTTTGTGCTATATTCGCCTAACAAGGCCTTCATGGGGAAGTTTTTGGCGTTGACTTACTTCTGAAGTCATATTCATCTCATGTCAGTCATGAGAATTGAAACATTAAATGATATTCCGAGTCAAGACTTATCAATTTAACAAATCAAAGATAGCAAAATTCAGAAGTTCTCAATGCAAATATTTTATAGCAAGCTGAAAGATGATGTGAAAATGTATAATTTGACTCCACTTTCCTGCACATAGTGAGGCAAATTGGTGTATGACAAGGAAAGTCCATTGTGAGATCTGGCTCAATTGTGAAACAGGTGAAAATTTCCACAAGAATAGTTTGTGAGAAGGGTGAAATCGAACTATATGAGCAAGAAAGTCCTCTCTATTGTCTGTAAATTGATTTTAATTACCTGTGTGAGTCTCTCTTCTTCCGCATGACTCGCCCATGATCGAGTTATCACCTCAGGAGCTCCAAGCTCAGTTCACTCATTCCACATTCGATGGCGTGGGTTTTATTGAAACATCCTCGCCAGATGTTGTGAGTTCTTTTCGTCTCGCATTTTTTGCGCACGACACTCTGAAAACTACCTTTTCCGCCTGCTATATATGTGGGAGAAGATTAGAGGACTTTTCGATTGTGTGCTGTGAATTCAGAAAGCGAGGAAGTTGTGGTCTCGCAGAGGAGGAGCGAAAGTTATGATTTCTCCGCTCATATGTTACCATGAGAACTTTGACAAAAGCTTATGTGAAACTGTGACAGAGAGAAATTTAATAATAACGGAACATTTAATGTGCAAAATGACGATATGCTAGGGATATTATTTCGCAAATTACTCTGTTTAGTGCATCGGAAATGGCACGAAAAACTCCTCAAAGAGTCCAACCACATTGAAATATATAATTGGAATTTTTATTTACTGCAGTAATATGAGATTTTAATGAATACGATATTGCGCTTTTGATGTGCTTGACAGTTGATGCCAAGTTGAATGTAATTAACAAATTTTTTCGTAATGCAATTTCCACTGACATTGAGAGTTTATGCTGAAAAGCCATAAATTTTTTTTAACATGTGCTTAATAAAATTTCATGATAATGTCCCCACCAATCTCAAGAGTGTGAATTTATTGATGTACATAATTAACCAGTTCGTGGCAGACATCAACAGTCAGGAGTTGTTTTTTGCCATAGAAATGTGGTAGAAAACTTCCTCTATACATATATTGTGTTGGCGCTTTCAACTTTGACGGTGGAGAAAAACCATAAATATCGGTCAGTTTTCGTGTGAAAGTTGAAAGCAACTTCGATGGACCTCATTGGATATTTTGCCCACACATGGCAATCGAGAGGTTTTTCGCTAAAAGTCCCCCGAAAGAATGCATGAGCGGATGTGCACCATAAATTCATCTCCTGTTGCACAGCAATAAAAGTGTAATTTGGACATGTGGAGCTTGCGGGGTGTGTGCATGGCCGCTGCGGATCCAACTTTCGCACCCACCCACGCCCTGGCCGCGCTGCACGAGCTTCAGAGCCCGGGAAAGTCGCTCTGCATGGCTGAAATTTTATTGCGTTCGAGGCACGCGATGGAATTCCCTAATATCCCCCCCCGCCCAAAATGGATGTCTCTCGCCTGTGGAGAGGGATAAACACCAAGGGAAATTCTGTATAGTTTGTCCCTAGACACAATTTCCACATCGCATGTCGCTGCACTTTGTGTGATTAACAACCTTTGTTTAGGGTAGGAAAATTTGTAGATTGTGTTTAACCCTTATTACCAGATGATCTTGTCCTGAGTGGATGAATTGTCCTTACTTACTATAGGCAGCCACATAATTCGCCCACTAATTTGCATGAGTTTGTGACACTTGATTTTTCCGCCAGCTGAATTCAAAAGCGATCATTTTGCACACCCTTGTAAGTCGTAGATTTCTTGAAGCTCAGCTCTAGAGCTCATGAAAAGTTCTGGAGGATTATCGATGCTTAAGTACGTGGCTTTCGCTGTGGTTTCTTGGTGAACTTCCCATAGGTTCTGCTCGTGTGTCTATTAGGGGAATTTAAAATAAACTCCCAAATCACGTAGCGTCGAAATGGAGCGCGATAGTGAACCTAAGACGCAAGGTGGTGAAACAATATTGCAAGTCCATGGCGGAATACAAAGTCGGTGATATCGATATTTCGCACTGTGGCTTGAAAGCTTGTCGAGAGGGCGGAAGTTTGCGCCGCACCTCAACGGGGTGAATGTCTGAATGACTGAATCAATATTAGCGCTCCAATAATTTGATCGCTCAGTGACTTTAATTTGATACTATGAAGCGAAGTCTCATGCATATAATATTGTTTATTAAGCACCACATCGCGAGTGCACATCGAAAGCTCTTCGGATTTACCTCATCCTCTGGGTGTTGCACCATTTCCACTGGGATTCGCATGGCATCCCTTGTGGGGTTCGCAGTGGCGACGACAGAACAGGATGTAAATCTTGAGATTGTGCTCCAAACAATCTCCAAAGGCGGGGTGCATTAAATCGTGCAAAATGGACAACGTGCAGCAACTTCTTGGCTTCTGCAAGGGGAGCCAAGAATGGCCGCACTGCCATAAGTTCACTAAATCTTCCGCATAATAAGCTTTTATTGTTTTAGTAGAGAATGAGGAAATGCCAGCGGAAAGTTCAGTGTGAGGAGGCGATCGTAAATTTTTCGCTTGTCTTGCACGGGAAATTCAGCTTCTTTTACTTACTAAAGTGGGTTGATTTTAAAGCAAAATCAGTAATTTGGGGAATTGAACGAGCATGAATGGGAATTGATTATTGGAAAAGTTTAAAAATATTTTCTTCGGTAAATTCGTGACTTCATTTCTTGTTTTTCCTTTTCAACTCTTGCATTTAAACTCTTCTAAATGAAAGCAGAGCTTTTTTCTGGGTATTTCCCATAATACACTTGAAATATGCATCAATCACAATCAGCTTTAATTTTAATGTCTTTAACTTTGGTATTATACAAGTCTCTTTAATAATGAAAATCAATCCAACACAGCAGCAAATGTTGTGAGCTTTCAGAGGAAAATATATAATTTTCTTCGTATACAATTAAATGAAAAGTGAGAATATGAATTGAATTTCTCCGAAGAAAGAAAAGTTGATGACAAATAGAAAATAATGATTTCTCAGATGGAATTTTACTGGAATTTACTCAATGGATGTTTTGCACTGATTTAGAATATCTAGATTCGAGCAAATAAATAGAATTCTCAGTGAAAATTGCACAGAATTCAATCGCATGTCCTTTCTTCGCATGTATTAAATTGCTTTTATTCAGGCAAATGTTCTCGTCCTCCGATTTATTGACGCCCCTGGGGAGCTTTCAAAGCGCTCCTCATCTGGATTTTATAATTCAATACCTTCGATGGACTTTGTGCGCCGGAGTTCTTCTCAAGGGGGCTTTCACACAATGTCACGCATTTTCCACACCCCTGCTGTGAGTGCACAATGAACTATTGTGAGCTTTTTAATTATAATACGCGTCGTTATTTTAGGTTTTTTTTTTCACGCAGAGCCAGTAATTAAATTTTGTTTTTGTCATGCAACATTGGAAAGAGTCTGCATTTGTCGGGCAATTTATTTGTCATCATGACATGATGTGAATAATGAGATTGCAATCACAATTTCTATAGTTTGTGCATCTTTTTCTGCTTGAGATAAGGCGAATTGAGTGGAGTTTATATAGAGAAATTTTCCAAAATGGCCAATTTTGTAGCGGAAATTCGAGCGGAAATTTCGCTATTGCTCCGGTCCAAATTGGCTCATGATTTTCTATTATAAATGAATTTTTCCTCTCGCCATATGCAAAATGCTTCAGGGACACTCCAACATCACAATGGCACTCAATTCACCCGCATAAATCTCTCCCCACGGCAAAATTTATGTCCACCCCACAATGCAGCGTGGGATGGGCTTTATTTATGGTCCATTGAGTATCGCCTTTTAGGATTATGTGCGCCTCTCAGCATCTCAAAATTGTGTCCTTTTTTCTTCTCTCTTTTGATTACAGAAAATGCTGCTGCTGCTCCACATTGCAGTGCTGCTGCTCACCTTCGGCACAGATTATGGCAAAGCAGTGGATCCAATTGGTAAGTGAGTTCCCTTTGACGCTGTACATTTGCTTGGTGACAAAAAAAAGCTCCCTCTCTGACTGTCTTTGGCGAGATGTGCTGTGGGAAATTCCTTTCTTCTTCAATTGCCAGTACACCTCCACTCAAACGGTCTGTCCCAATTTATGTAATTCTTTTAATTTTACTCTCCCTTCCGTGAAATGGAATTCTCTTTGCGCTGCGCGCACACCTCATAAATATAGGAGAGCTTTGCAGCTTTGACTGAGCTTTGAAGGATGCTCATTAAAATTCTTCTTTTCTTTTTACGATTGCGAGACTTTCTTGTGCCATTCAAATGATTGAGCAAACGGTACAAGAAAGTGAAGAAAAAGCTGTGTTTCCTATTTATTCAAAATGTTTTAAATTGAAATTGCAAGAAACATCATCTTGTTTTCATGAGTAACACTGCAAGCTCTAATTAGTGTACTTCCCTGTCGATTTAATCAGATGGTTTGTCAAGACTTTAAGGTAATTTGTAATTTGTAGACAAACAATTTTGATTACCTTTACAATGGGTTTCGAATTTAGTTACCAAACCTTCAGCAAATAAACCAAAAATTATGGTAATTTTAGTATATTTCGTATTTATTTAAGTCAAGGCATAATTGAAAAATAATATCTGACAGGAATCGTGAAATTTCCATTCACTTGGACTCCCTTATTTTCGTCCCCTTGGAAAATGTGCACTATTCCGTGGCTTTCATCTAATCTTCTTTAGTGAAATTTCCACAAGAAGTCTCCGCTTTCATAGGAGGATAGCATCAATCATCTTTGTCGTGCTGGGAAATTTTATTCTCGGACTAAAATGGTATGATTATGTGTCGTCATCGTGGCGTTGTAATCCAGTCTGAAGGATGTATTGGCGCTGGGTGGTGTCAGGGTGGGAGTGTGAGGGTGGCAAAGTGACGGAATATCCGTGAGCTTCCGCTATGATTGCCTTCCAACCTTCGGCATCATTGATTTGACGGAGCACAATGGGAAAAATTGCCATGGAGCGGATGAAAGAGAACATCCTCGGATTCTATTTCCATGACAAGGCTCAAGATCTCGTATATACATAGACCGAGATGAGGCATCATTTCATAGACAACTCACACCCTCGCGATGGCCATTAGACAATCACAGGGCGGATTGCTCGCTCCAGCACACGGATGACTTCATTTACCATCGACCTCCTTTGGCTTCCATTGTGGATAAACAAAAGAAAGCCCCATCGCCCCTTGGGGCAAAAATCGGCACAAGAAAGTCCCCCGCACGCGAACTTTCACCATCCATTCTCGTGGCTTGTGAAGTGTCTAATGATTATTAGCCGGAGACATTTTGCCTCATCCATGGAAGATGGATTTTCTAAGCTTTTGCCGAACACAATGCACAGAAGCCTCAAACTTTCACAAAGATTTGCCGCCGAGAAAACTTCTTCCAGAATTCATGGGGAGAACGAAGAAGCCAGAAATGGGAGTGATTCATCAACACTCACACACAATTGTCATGAACTCATGGGCAGGCCATCCGGCCCACCCAGTAATTAATTTTTTTCCCCCATCCTGACGGTGGCGCGTTTTTTCCACGAACAATTTCACATTTCAGTGATTTTCGCCATTCAATTCCGAAGGCATAAATATTTAAGCGGCTGAGAAGTTCAATGTGAAGAAAAATCCAAGAGAAAAATGTGAATTGAAATGATTTCTTAAGCCCCGCCAAATCAAATGTTCCGCTCTAATGTGCGGTCAATGCAGAGCAATTTTACCACAGCATTGTCATCTTCTATGCTACAATTAACCCTTATCATCTGCGAGCGCTTTACCGCAGAAAAAGCTCGCTAATATGCAGAGAGAATATTCCACCCCTTCACAATTGGCCTCTCAGTTGAGTGACAATGGATGAAATGATAACAGTGTTGGGGGATAAAATGCAATTTGCAGATGAAGGCCATTTATGGAGTGGAAGTGAATTTTCCACCGATGGCTCCATCCATGGCATTTTCCAGCCCTGGCGTTCAATTAAGCAGCTGAATTCATTAGTTTGTGTGCTGAGTGTCAGTGGAGGTGCTCATTAAATATCACACCCCCCTCTGGGAGGCATTTTGTGGGCTTATTCGGTTGAGGTCAGTGCTGCCACTTCAACTTTGTGCACTATCTCTGCGGTCGGTGAGTGAATTTAATCGGCAATGTGTAAATAGCTGAGGACGGTGAGAGGGTGCGGTTGCGGAGGAAAGTCTTCTCCTTCTCACACCCTCCAGAGGGGGTGGCTTATGTGCCACTGGTGGATTAAACGAGCACATCGTTGGGTGTCAAGTTCTCACGAAAGTGTTGGAGAAGTTTGGAAAAATTAGCATTTTTAATGAATTTTCCACTATGTATTGAAGTTTCAAATATTCTATTAAGCTGATGAAGCTAACGATGAAAGATCATATAAGCAAATATATTAATATGTATAGTTGAAAAGTTTGAACTTTACTAAAAGGGTTTTCCCGGGAGAGTTTGCAGAATACTGTATGTGTAGCAGACGTTAAGGATGTTTAGTGCATTTCCAGTTGAGTGTAAAAGCATTTCCGCAAAGTGGCATCTTCATGGGCATAACAGAGTGTGAGAGTGTTTGTATTATCATCCACTTCGCTTGACCACATTCAGCTGTTATGCCGCAAAATCAAACAGCAACAAATTTTCACCAACAAACTCTAAAATTTGTACACAAGAAAATGTTTATGTTTCAATTTTGTGGGTAATTAGGTACAGCAAAGTGCCTACAATATTCCACCCAATTTCACGTCATTTTCCGGGAGTGGAAACATCATATTCAATGGAAGTTGTAGGCAATCCACATGCCGCAGACTATGGTGGATATCATCTCGTTTTTTCTCACTCTCACTCTCCCTCTCTGGTGGCGGTTTTTTTTTCCTCCGGAGGATGATCCTGAATGGGAGAAAAATCACGCAGAGCTTGAGCAATTTTGAGGCAACAGCCCTCTTATAGTTCAATATTCAACCCGATAAATAACGCACATAGACCTCCCGCACCCTTTACGCCCCAACCCACCGACCCTCGAATAAAAATAAAACACCCACGTTTGTTGTTGCGTCGTGCTGTGCGATAAAATTTCAACACAAGTCGAAGGAATGATTTTCTCATGGGGATAAGCATTTGCCAGAACTGTGGACATCATTTGGGGATGGAAGATCCAAAGGAGGCTTCTCGAAATCAGGTAGAAACTTCTACAATCTTCTATTGCAAAGCCACACAGAATTGTATTGAGATCGAGCATTCTTTGCCTGAAAAACTAAGAGCCTTGGTCTCGTGCAGGGGCGAATGACAGACCCCTTGCGAGCCTTCCGAGTGAAGGAGTTTGGGTGCGACATAGATTTGCCGGAGCGCCTGAAGAGAGCACCATGCGGAAGATGAGCGGTATGAGATAAATTTATTATTAAAACCGTCGAGAATCGCCCATATATCCAGTATCTTGGAACAATTCATCTAAATTACTTCTCGTCCCCTTCGCCTTTCTCCGCCAGCCCCCGAGACATTGCATCCCCCGATGTGAGGGGCGAAAGCTCATTCTGCCCTCCTTGACTCCTCCAATTTCCCTCACCATCACTCTCGTCGTCCGTCTCCTTTTTTTTTTCTCTCCACCCGCCTTCGCTCGGTGTCTCTGGAGAGGGTCGGAGGACGAGGACATGTGTTTGGTTGTATCTCTACAATGTATTTTTTTCGGTGGGTGAAACCACAAGTTTTCCGGTTATCCAACTTTGTTTATAGTTATGCCGGTCGTTGGGCTTGTGTTTTATTCTGTTAGACGGTTAAACCCCTCCGTCGTAGACCCATTTTTATGATGATAGATAAAATCTCAAGAGCCTCCAACATTGTTGCTGTGGAGCATGGCGCACGCACACCCCCATTCTCTGCCACCCCACGATGAAATGTCGCACGGATGAAATAGTGTGTGAAAGGAGATTCAAATGGCACACGGAGCTGTGTGGGTCATAGGCATCTTGGGGAATGACCGGCGGCCATGCAAGTCCCTCTTCTGCCTCCCAATTCATCTGAGCAGCACTAAACTTTCGATTTATTTCACTTCATACTTTTTTTTTTACTGCTCTCAAGCACAATATTCCATTGGCATCATTTGCCTCAGATAAGCACAAATTCTGGGAACTTCTGTGGCGGCATAAACTCCAAGTTTTATGGGTCATTCTGACTCCCCAAGAATCACCTTAATTCCACACTCCGCCAAAAAGATGTTGCACGCGTGGTTGGCAATTATGAAAATATACCATTCAATCAGGGTGAAAGCATTTCCAAATTGCAAGGTGAAAAGTTTTACAGCCAGAGAGGGGAAAAAACTGAAAAGGAAATAATCTTGAGAAAGACATTAAATGATTTTCCTTTAATGCACGAGTGCAATTTCCCTGGAATAAAAATTAAAGGACGTGCGACGGAAAAGTTTTAACAAGCTTAGCTGCGGAGATTGATCTTTCGATTGCTATAGTGAAAAAGAAAAGCACTCTTGCATTATAATGAATGCCAGAGATTGAAATGTTTCCGTTCAACATGCGTTCAAATCTCTCTTGTTTCCGATTAAAAGCGAATAACTCTTCTTCAAATGTCGCCAGAAGAGGAGAGAGATTAGGGCGAAAAAATGCCTGGATTTGCCTTCCTCGCAATTGCCATGCAAGATTTATGAAGTTTTTCGCAAATTGAGATTTTCTTATCTACTACTGAGGATGAATGGTGATGTATTCGTCTCGTTACTTGGCGATGAGAGTCTCTTCTTGTGAGGGTCAAATTTGAGCTCAAGAGATATACAAATGGACATCAAAAGAAGCCGATAAATGTAACATGAGAGGATTGAGCTGAGAAATCCTCTCTCCAGATGATCAAGTGAAGAAAAATTGTATTAGCAATTTCCTCGTGCATTGCATAAGAGGTCAAAGAGTGACGGATAAAATTGCGCCGCACACAAAGAGTGACGTTGGCAAAAGTTCT